ATTATAGTAGTTCATTTAAATACACCAAAATGATAACCAGCAACAGATGTTCCATTCCTACTTATTTTAAAGTGTGTTTATCAATTCTTTACCATATATGATTGAAGATATTCAACATGGTAAACCAAAATTACACTTCTGTTTTTCTATAATGCAATATGTGACGAGGTATATATTTCATGTTTATTCTATTTGTAATTCGGAAAATTAAAATTGATTTTAGTACAATTTCACTAACCAAAAGAATATTAATCAGATTTTTTCAATGTACCCGTTCTCTCTTATTTTGAAATTATTATGGAAAAACATGCATGAGATTAAGTACACAATTCAAAATTCTAACCCTAACAAGATCTAGAGTATCCAACCCCCGTCGTATGAATAAACAGCATAACGATTTTACACAAGATGGCACAAGAACTGACAGAAATTGTCACAGGGTACATTATCAATGCACATATATACTACAATGACAGACATATAAAAACACCACAGATCATTACTGACTCAAAATCATCATACCAATACATTCTCTGACATGATTGCATCAATTACCCACTTCATTAAAAAATACAACATACGGTAATCATCATAATCAATTGTACAGGAGTTAAAAAATGAAGGTTCCTTTTACATAATATATGCGTCAGTGAACCACTGTGGTCTTTTCTATGTGTAAATTGATAGCTACTGCACGCACGCAACAAAGATCCTACAGTATTCACTTGCTCTAGCTGTGTCAGACATGTGAAGCGTATTACAGTCAACAGCTAGGGCCCTGTTTCATAAACTTGTTATCAATAACAACTTACCGTAATTAACAGTGTATAAACCGCCCTCGTGTATTAACCGCACCCCTCTTTTTCGCCCTAAAGCAAGCCAGGTCCGTGTTAAAAAAAACAGTAGAGGACCTAGGATAGAACCTTGTGGTACGCCGTGTAATAGAAGAAAAATTGGAGGAATTATTATTATAAACTACATATTGAGATCTATCAGAAAGATTACTTTCAAACCATGATGACAGACAAATTTGAGTGTTGTTCTATATAGTTTCCGAGTGGTGATTCAACACACCGATTACTGAGCTGGGAGACATTGCTAGGCATAGCGCCAGGTGGAGGGGAATAAATCAAAACTTTGGTGTACCGTGTATAAACCGCACCCCCGACTTTGTATTTTTTTCGGCGGCAAAAAGATGCGGTTTATACACCGTTAATTACGGTATAATAACTGTTATAAGCTACTGAAATCGAGGCATTTGATTGGCTGAGAGCAAATTTTCCATAGAAATTGAGCATTTGTTGTTGATAACAAGTTTTATGAAACAGGGCCCTGGGCATAAGATGCTTAGACAAACACACTTGCATTCCTCTTGTAATAAGCTTCATAATATGAAGTGAAAAAAATTCATATAACAGTAGGCTTATTTCAAGTTCATCAGTCATGTAAAGAATATTTTGTTCTCTATGATAGAGGTTCAATGATGCTATAATTTATTTAAAACATGAGCTTCAATCATGACTTCTTTAAAGAGATATTGCACTCTCAATTAACAAAAGTGACTTGTGAGGATATACACTTATACACGATTGCACAAAATAATGCCCACACCTAACCTGACTTGACAGAGATTAAAGGTATTCTATATTAAAGATAAAGGTGAGTTCTGGTAATGTGATTGCATTGTGAAAGAAAAGGTGTGGAATGGATCAGAAAAAGTTGATCATATAGCATGTAAGTATTGGTGTGTACTGCAAAGTTCTGGAGTCATCAAAATCATCATACATTTGGCCCAGTCTTGGTAAAGTAACAATCACTGTACACAAAAAGATGTAGATGGGACAACACAAATGGTGTCGGGGCTAGTACTACCTTGATTTCCTTATCTTTCTATGCTCATTACTCAGTCGGTATACATTTTCTTCCAAAATTGTTTGGCACATGACATTTATTTGTAATTTATTTGTAAATCAAATGAATGAGAATTCATTTTCTTTTTTTTTACCAGAACTCAAGTTTATCTTTAACTTCACACTCTTTTTCTCTAAGACTGAGTCCCAGGAATACCTGGTCAGATTTTGTGAGATATTTGGGGGTTTTATACATTGGTTGCTATACACAATTTATATTTTAGGTGATTGGTACACTAAACAAGTAATATACAGTAAAACCTGCTTTAGTGACCACATGTCTACAAAGACCACTTTTTTTTTGTTTCCCTTGAAAACGGTTTCTCATTGAAACATGTACTAAAGTAACCTGTCTACAAAGACCACTTTTTGTGTTTCCCTTGGGCGGTTGCTATAGACAGGTTTGACTGTAGTAGGTTGAAACAGAGAGTTTACCAACAGAGCAATGGTTTACAAAGACCTATCATAAATTGAGGAAAGCAAGGTAGAATATTCAATATTCAGTGCAGCATAAACAATATACTAATCAATTCACACTAATGATACATGAATGCCTTTTGCTGTTCAGGTAGAATAAAGTATCATAAAATGACCTTGACCTACCTAAGCCTTCCGCACCATCTGGGAGATGTGTGATGGCTTCTGCTTCATGACCTCAAGCCAGATCTTCCTATCTTGTGACGTTCTGGTCACTTCTGTGAGGCATCCCAGACATCTATTAGCACAATCAGCCTTTACACAATCAAGCCATTTCTTGGCTGGTCTGCCCCGGGGTCTATCACCAGGAATATTTGAAGTTAGGAGTATCTTTGGGTATCGTGATGGTCTCATCCGGTTGATGTGGCCAAAGAATCGCAGTAGTTTTTTGGCTATCTTGTCCAGGATGGTTTCATCTAGTCCTAGAGTCTTCCGAATTGTTGTGTTTCTTATTTTATCTAGTCTCGTTACACCCAAGATTTTTCGGAGGCAGATCATTTCGAAGGTAAGGAGCCTGTTCTCATCTTCTTTTTTCAGTGTCCATGTTTCTGATCCATACCTAAGGATGGATAGGATGAGTACCTTATATAGTTCAAGTTTTGTGACGTCTCTATGCTGTGAAGACTTTGAACAGCACCCAGGGCTTTTCCAATCCTATTCTTTATGTCCTCTGTACATTTTCCTGATAAAATGAATCTAGAGATATACATGACATAACAATATATACATAATATCCAGGACTTGCAGAATTACATAAGGCTCAATAGAGGCACCTCTAAATATCCATGAATAGAAAAAGTAGAAAAACATGACTTTAATATATATGTATAAGGAATGTGCCTTGGAAAATCTGAAATAATTACAATTAATGACCTTCAAAATAGAATGAAGTCAAAATGCACATTAAACACTAGGTGTGGAATTTGAAAAAAAAGAAAGAAAGAAAATAATGTAAACCTGTAATCTTAAGGTCTTTTAGGAGGTGGTAGAGATACAGAAAGTGTTGCCAGAACTTGGGGAAAGAGGGGGGGGGGGGGGGGGGCCTCCTTTATCCTATCAAATTTGATGGGTACCATATTTTTCTGATTCTTCCCTCATCTTTGATCCCTACCATTCACATCACACAAAGCATACAATAGAAATAGTAAAATAGTAATATTTTTAAGTACGGTACATATAAAAGTAATAGTAATAGTAAAATAGTAATAATTTTAAGTACGGTTACATATATTTTCTCTAGTTAAGTAATAGACGATCAAAATAAACATGGATAACTTATTATATTGTAATGCATAGCCTGTATATAAAATCTGTAAAACAACTATGAATGTAACATTAATTTGTAATATAAATGTGCATTGCGTTCTTTTTTGGAATAGTGCTGTAAAAGCCGTATGGCCTGCCATGACTCCAAAATGGGACCATAGACCTGGTATTGATGTATGAAAAGTTTAAAAAAATAAAGACTTGTTGAAATAAAACATACTGAGTAACCCTATATCAGATTGACAGAATTTGATTGTAATAAATCATGTACTTTAACAAAATGTGTAGGAGCCTCTATAAAAAGGAAATCAAGATTTCTAGATATAAATATAAAACAAATCTAATGAATGAAGGATGAAGTCCCTAACAACTAAATATGTTAATATCTTCAGCTATATCCAGGAATCCCAATTATGTGTTCAGCTGAAGGTTATACAGAGTTATGGTGAATACAGTATGTGTTCTATCCTTCACCAACACTGTGCATTTATCTTCAAAGTGACTTATTGAGGATTTGTGCCTTTAAATTCAGTTTAGGGTAGACCCAACAATGAATGTACATATGAATGGACATTTCTGAATGTTAATTAACTCACATGATTTTATGAAATAAATAAGTTGAATTAAATTAGATTAAAATAAAACTATAACTTATTCAAATAAGATCGAGATAAAATCTAAATTAAAAAATTGCTGAAGGGTTGAGAGTGGCAAAATTGTCACCAGAACTTGATTGCATTGCACAATCCTATCAGAGCTGAGGAATATAAGCAAAATGTACTGGTCATAATGAGACTGACTACCAGTATTATTAATATGCTTCAAGCCCAGTCAAGACTCATCTGGAATGCAAAAGGCATATTTGTTAATGATATCAGCGACTCTAAAAGTGTGTCTCAATATTATTTAACACAGTCAGGTTAATATGGTTTTAAAAGAGATGATTGGTACTACAAATTGAAGAATAGTAACAAATACGGACATACTCTGTTCATCTTGCATTCATCAGAGTAAATCTCAAGAATAAACAGGACAAAAGCACAACGCCTAGTTGTGGCCAAACTAGTACAGCCGGCCTTTAAAACAACTAGGCGTTGTGGCGTGCGCCTGTAATCCAGCTAACAGTGGAAGTTACAAACTGATTCAGCCGAGGACGCAGGTTCGAAACTGAGTCACGTCTTTCGGATGGTGACGTTTAAAGGTCGGTCCCAGACGTAAATAATCATATCTGATTGATACACGTCTGTAAAAACCCAATACATACATACATTGGCCAGGAGGGATTAGACCACACAGCGTGGTCAGTGACAGGTGGTTATCTCATCAAATCAGCTCTCAATTAACATAAGAAAAAGAGGATCATGGGGGACCAATGGTCACTGATTAGGCATTGTTTTCTACATAGAGGGAGCAAGTAGCTACAAGTAGGACAGTGGGGCTTTAAAACTACCCTATGGATGTGTGGTCTGATCAATGTTTAGAATCCTGAGGGTTTGCCATCTTTCCTGCTATCACAGTATCCTTCCACCCATCCATCTTCCAGACGCTTGATCACCTGGACGACGGCACCGCTGGTACTCTCCTCCACATACTGGCCTTTCGGGATCAGACCATCTATAACATCCTGCAAGTGAACAGATGGAATTGGAATATAACATTTGCAATCATAGCTTTAACATTTTTCATAAAAATTATCGTTTTTTTTCTGCCTCTTTCTGCCTCTGTCTGTTTCAAAGTAACTATTTGTACAGCTTTGGCTATGATGAAGAGTGCACACATTTTCACACTAGCTTTAATAACCAAACAGGGCCAATAATCCTTTCAGGGATTTCTGTTCATGGATTTGAAATTAAGTTGGCACATTTTACATTTCATTGAAACAGAATGCAGAATGGACAAAAACAGAAATTTGTTAAATACCACCGGACTATTAGAAGAAAGTTATGAATGTTTGCACGTTGAGATCACTGAAGGAATTTATATCTCAAATTGACAAAAACTGGTCATTAGACTGTGATGTATTTGGCACGTTGAGATCACTGAAGGAATATATATCTCAAATTGACAAAAACTGGTCATTAGACTGTGATGTATTTGGGGGCACCTCCCCCACTTGTTGTACACTAAAATATATCGTAGATTTCCATTTTTCTCCTACACACCGTATCCTCAGGGGATCTACTAAAAAATCATTGAAAAAAGAATCCTACGGAGTCCAAAATATTAAAAAATTATACTGTCTGTTTTATATTGATTTTATGTGTTAGAAAAGCGAGCGAAAAGTTGTGATAAAAACTGTTTAAATCATAACTTTCTTAAGATTTGTCTAACTTATTGTTTCTCTAATTTTCTCTGATTTTTTCTGCTTCCCCCTAAGTGTATCATAAAAATCCTGGCTTGATTGCAAAATACTCTCAAATACGCATCAGTACAATATTTTGGGGTCATAATTCAAGTTAGGAGTAGTGTCTGGAACAAAAATGTGCATACCTGAGGGAATCCTGGTTCGTACCTGGTGGCATTGGGAAGTAGCTGATTGTGGACACGCCTTCTTTCTACTCCATCTTGAAGACTAGAACCAAACCAAAGACTTTCCATGGTAATCTGAAAGTAAAGAGCAAAGCAAATCAACGACTTTCCATGGTAATCTGAAAGTAAAGAGCAAAGCAAAGGGTTTCCATGGTAATCTGATAATAAAGAGCAAAGCAAAGCAAAGTCTTTTGACTTTTACTGTGCCAAAGGGTTTTCTCGTCACAAAAAATTACTTTTCAAATGCCTTTACTTCTTTTATAGCCATGTATCATATCAAAATAAAAACGATTAAAACAGAAATATTGTGTAAAATTTGTTTAGGAAATTTATCACTCTTTCTAATGATACCAACAGAAAAATTTATTATTGCATCAATTTCATGAATGAAAATTCATTATAGAATATAAAGGAGTTTTTTCAAATGCAATTTTTTATTGCTATTCTCTCTATATTTTTATGGTATTTCCTAGAGACATACCAAACTAGATGGAACTTCGACTGCGCGCAGTCGAAAATGATGCCTCCGTCATAGAGCAATTTTAGAAACCAAAACAGAAGAATTTTTAAAATTCCAGTTCAATTGTAATCCATTAACAGGTTCTCAGAATATCGTGATTACAAGCAATTTCTCATATACATATATGACCCTTTGATCTTTGACCTCATGACCCTAAAATCTACTCAGTTCATTGGCTCTGCAAGATGTCCTGAGTTAAATAGTAATCCATCTGTCAGTTCTAATGAGAATGCTTTCACAAGCTATTTTTGCATACATAATGAGCCAATGACCTTTGACCTTATGAACCAAGAATCTACTCAGTTTATTGGCTCTGCAAGATACATAAATGAAGTTTGGCAGGAATCCATCAATCTGTTCTAATGATTGTACGATCACAAGCTATTTTTTGCATACATAATGTGCCCTGTGACCTTTGACATTTGACCTCGTGACCCCAAAATCTAATCAGTTCATCGGCTCTGCAAGTAACATACATGAACTAAGTTTGGCAGGAATCCATCAATCGGTTCTTGAGATAACGCGATCACGAGCTGTTTTTGCATACATAATGAGCCCTGTGACCTTTGGCCTTTGACCTTGTGACCCCAAAATCTAATCAGTTCATTGGCTCTGCAAGATACATACATGACCAAAGTTTGGCAGGAATTCATCAATCTGTTCTTCAGATAACGCGATCACGAGCTGTTTTTGCATACATAATGAGCCCTGTGACCTTGTGACCCCAAAATCTAATCAGTTCATCGGCTCTGCAAGATACATACATGACCAAAGTTTGGCAGGAATCCATCAATCGGTTCTTCAGATAACGCGATCACGAGAACGGGACGTACGTACGTACAGACGTACGGACGGACAACCCGAAAACATAATGCCTCCGGCTACTTCGTAACGGAGGCATAAAAATTCCCCCAAAACATACAAAGAGGTTAAGGATTTGGAACGAAAGATGGATGAAAAATATATTCAGAGTTGAAAGCAGTCCATAAACATATTTTCTGTGCTGTTTTTTAACTATTTTTGACTAGTTTTAGACTGTGTTATTTTGATTAGTGAAAGTACAGTGTTGAGTCCATGGTTGAAGTAAGGAATTTGGTTAGTGTCAGAAACAACCACGGAGCGATTGTCGCGGAAGCGTATATAGAGCGCAATCCCAACACGTGAGAAACCTACCAGGCTGGTTGCCGTGGTGATTCTGGTGCCTCCGGATGCCCCCACAACGAACTGCACGTCTCCGTCATCGTCCACCATGATGACTGGCGTCATTGAAGATTGAGGGCGCTTCCCTGGTAGGATGAAGTTTGCCGGAGAGGGCGGCACTCCATAAGCGTTTGGAGCTCCGGGCTTGGAGAAGTCATCCATCTCATTGTTGTAGATGATCCCTGTAGTGTTTCCACGCACCTTAGAGCCAAAGCTGGGGAGGGTCGGGGAGAAGAGTACCGTCATAATTGCGAAATTTTGCGAAATAATATCGAGTCACACTTTTAGAGTCGCCGATATCATTAACAATTTTGGTATTCATGATGAAATCCACCATAATCAAGATACCATCAAGCAGAAACTATATATGATATACATGTATTATTATCCTGTCTTTAGCCCAGCTGCTTTAGGACACCAAATGCATTCAAGGAATAAACTCCTACCAGGTACCCATATACTACACCTAGGTGCAGAGTGGCAAATGTATATCGATGATGGACCCATTGTAATTAAACCTATGCACCATGAATCATTATCAGTACGACTGTGAAAGAACAGGATAGTCGTCTGACTTGCCACCACCTTGTGTGTAAGCTAGTGCGCCCCCTCCCCGCTGTTCTCAATGCCGGCTTGGGTTCAGGATGGGCCGGGTCATAAATTTGGTTCACATGACGAAAATTCGTCGTTTAAAATTGAAACCCCCACTTGAGTTTCACTACTCCTAGAGCTAAGCCTAAAGTAAACACTAGCGCTAGACAATGTAATCCCCCTGCCGAGACCTTGGCGAGGTGAGAGAGGGAGAGAGAGATAAGCATGATAGAGGGAGAGAGGAAGGGATAAAGAGTGCTAATTTTCACAATTAGAATTGTTGTTATATCGCCAATTATGGGTCATTTTGCTTCGTTTGAACTTTCATTATGGTCCTCATCTAAATTATAAGTGACTTTTGGACATGAAAATATCTTAAAACAAGTAAAATATATATTTCCTTTCAGGCAGAGCCCCAGTAAGAGTTTGTTTACACTAGTATTACGTAAGATGATGAAGAGTCCAGCTGCCATCCAATATCATAATCTCTCATGCAGAGCCTCAAGGCTCTGTCCAAGTTTTTAACGAGAGATACAAAATTGGGGTAGTGATACCCCATCAGATTTACATTTGTGCCTGTGTTATAGTAGTAGCTCTCTCAAATTTTTAATTGGGGTTCTGGTACCCCACCAGATTACATTGATTCCTGTAATATAGTGGTGGGGTATAGCTTTTCATAATGAAATGAACATATTGGAAGTATATGCGATTTCACAATATTCAATGATCGTTGTCATAGTTGAAATCGAGTCTAAAGTGATGAAATTGTAAATAATAAACTTTTTGTTATGTATAGCTCCCTCTCAAGACTGATATTACTTTAGCTTTAAAACAATGTTTCTTGACTACAATCAACCAATTTGCTATGCCTGTTTGGAACTTATATATCAGAACTGCATATTCTGAGATTTCATGGTCGCAGCTACCATATATATTGGAAATTACCTGGAGCACCAGTAAATTTTGATTATTCAATTGCTCGAAAGCAGAAATGTTTTAGGGGCGAAATTTTCTAGTGCTTAATATACTACATCCACAAGGGCATCCAAATATATAAAAATTTAAAAGAATCACTATCCAACCAATTTTCAAAATATCCCAAGACTTTGCATTATCTTTAATAGGCTACACTTTTCACAAAGAGTAGGGTGTAAACCTGGTGTTAAGTGTGCCTGCATGTACAACAAAAGATCTTTGAGAAAAGCTGCTTTAATAGCCCTTTGAACATCAACAAAAGAAGAAGAAGAAGAAACTTGCGCTGCAGATAAATACTCACTATGTGTTTATAGTACTGGTGATTGAAGCAGCGTTTCCAAACTGGTCTACCACTGAAATGTGGGAAGTACCACTGTCTTCTACAATTGTAAATGATGGTCCGTAGTATTCGGTATCATGGGTTCTATCATCTGTTATCTGTGCACGGAGACCATCAGCATAATCTTGGGAAGTCAGGTTTGCTACAAGCTAAAGAGGGGGGAAAGAAAATCAGGAAGAGTTAAAGAGAAGGTTGAGTTCTGGGAAGAGGTGAAAAATAATTTGTGAGCATTACTCATTCTTATTATGCAAGTGTGGAAGAAAATCAGTTAAGACATGTTCCCTGAAAAGCATGGCTCTTCAAATGCCTTTATATTCTAAATATGCATGTAACATCGTAAAAATCGGGGGGGGGGGGGGGGGGGGGGGAGGGGGGGGCGGCTTTTTACACCACGTGTTCGTGTAGTCCCATATACATCTTTCGGTGCAAGTGTTTGTAACTTTACCAAGACTTGGCCAAATTTCTTATAATTTTGATGATTACAGAACCTTGCAGTACACACCAATACTTATATACTAGATGATCAACCTTTTCTGGTCGGTTCCACAACATTTCTTTCACAATGCAATCACAATGACCAGAACTCAACTTCATCTTTAACAAGAGAGGGGGCAAAGCATGAAAATGATGTTAATTCTCTTGCTATTACTGATAAACTCATTAATTCTTCAAGAATGATTCTTCTACTAGCATTTTTACAATTTCTGCAAATACTACTTATATGCTGCTACTACTACTACTACCACCACTACCACTACCACCACTACCACTACCACCACTACCACTGCCACTACTACTACTACTACCACTACTACTACTACCACTACTACTACCACCACTACTACTACTACCACTACTACTACTACCACTACTACTACCACCACTACCACTACCACCACTACCACCACCACCACTACTACTACTACCACCACTACCACTACCACCACTACTACTACCACCACTACCACTACCACCACTACCACTACCACCACTACTACTACCACCACTACCACTACCACCACTACCACTACCACCACCACCACTGCCACTACTACTACCACTACCACCACTACCACTACCACTACCACCACTACCACTGCCACTACTACCACCACTACCACTACCACCACTACCACTACCACCACTACTACTACCAACACTACCACTACCACCACTACCACTACCACCACTACCACTGCCACTACTACTACTACTACTACTACTACTACCACTACTACTACTACTACTAATATTACTACTACTACTACTACTACTACTACTACTACTACTACTACTACAACTACTACTACTACTACTACTACTACTACTACTACTACTACTACTACTACTACAACTACTACTACTACTACTACAACTACAACTACTACTACTACTACTACTACTACTACAACTACTACTACTACTACTACTACTACAACTACTACTACTACTACTACTACTACTACTACTACTACTACTACAACTACTACTACTCCTTCCACCAGTGCTACTACTGCTCCTCCTAATACTGCTGCTACTGTTACTGATACTAAGGACTACTACTACTACTACTACTACTACTACTACTACTACTACTACTACTACTACAACTACTACTACTACTACTACTCCTTCCACCAGTGCTACTACTGCTCCTCCTAATACTGCTGCTACTGTTACTGATACTAAGGACTACTACTACTACTGCTACTACCACTATTACTACAGCTACTACTACTTCTTTTACTACTACTTATACTAATATTGCAACAGTTACTGATACTAGGGACTACTACTGCTACCACTACAAGAATTCCTGAGAGATTATGATCAGGTTGGTCTGTTCAAATCCTTACTTCTTCCACATCCACAAAGTCTGCATCTCCCAAGGCACTTCTCTTGGCATAGGCAAACTTGAATGCCTCAATGATACGATGGTATGTCAATGTTTCATCTCCGATAGATTGCAGGCTTTCCGGACTGAAACCATAACCTGAGAACACGGGGGTGATACATGTAATTATTAGAGTAGTTCTTTTCTAATAAAAGAATTCTAACGTATATTTGTTTAACAACATTTTTATCAGATGTATCCATTTCAGAATATAACAGAACATTCTTCTTCTTTTTTTTTAGCATTTAGGGATCTATTCAGATACCGGTAAAGCAATTTAAACATGAAAACAATAGTCTGAGAATATTTCACAATATTCATAAGGATATTAGAATCCCGGCCCCCCACTCACGGGTCCGAATGACCACATGCGTGTTGCCAAAATGTCCGGTAAAGGGGTACTTTTCGTGCGACAAAGTCCGGCCCGAGAATTGTAAAAAAAGGGGTGTATTTGACTTTTCACCCGGAGATTTCTTTAAAAAGGGGGTGTTTTTTCTTTTTCTCTCTCATCTCTTTGGACTCCTGAGAAATTATTCTGAATTTAGGGGAGTACAATGAGCATTTTTCCTGATTTAGGGGGGTTTCCAAGGCAGGAAAAGCCAGCGAAAAGCCTGCGAAAGGGGGGTTCGGACATGTTGGCAGTCTTCAGATAGGGGGTGCTTTCAAAAAGTGGGAACGAGCATATGCGTACGCTAAATAACACTGAGTGGGGGGGGGGCGGGATTAGAATCGGGAGAAAAACTTCACTTTAGGCTCAACAAATCTGAACTCCAGAATCATTGAATGTTGTTGGAAGTCTTATGCTCCATCTTTTAATAAAACTCAATGGTCATTGTGATGCTCCAGCAGAGTAACTCTCTCAGTATTATAACTGTTGTCCTGAGAGGCCCTGTACAAATTATAGCTTACACCACAGTGCTCCCACATTGAAAAGATGATATCAAAATGTAATAATCACCTTTAAAATATAATTTGTGTATAGCTACAATATATAAAATCAACCTTAAAGAATCTTAACCTGGCTTTCTATAGGTCAACTGGTTAGGAAGAAAAATAAAGGAGAACATAAAACCCCATGCACAGAACCCCCTTCCGACTTGGGTTCTGTGTACACCCAAATCTAAGGCAGGGCATTTGCATGCTTCGACTACCGTAGTTTACTCCACAACTATTTGTTTTTATGTGTACAAGGAGCCTATTTACACTGCGATATCTCTTAGTAAAAGTAATGTTCAAATCTTGTATTTTGAATACCGTATAGTGACATACAGTAGAACTCCTTACATCGAGATCGAAAACAAATTTTGGTGATTGGAACACTTTAAAGGCTAGGTATTCTACTGACACTACTTGAGATTTATGTATATACTGCCCTCTACTGCTCAAAATATCCCGATGTGTCGACAGCCATTTCCCCAATGCATCACCTACCTCATACATGCCAACATTTGAAAATCAGAAATCTGTACAAATTATGCTATTTTCAAAAAAAAGAGGAACAATCCTAACTCTCCTATTCAATACTACAGACAAATTTGTACAGGAAGAGGAACACCTGCATTAAAATGATAATTATCTTCTCCCAAAAAGAGGAATGTTCCTCTTTAATCTGAACAGTTGGCATGTATGCTACCTGTACAAAAGATGCTTGGGTACAGGAACCGGAAATCGCTCTATGTGCACCTTCACCGACAGATCACGCAATTGAATATACATTACAGCAGTGTTAGTGATGTCAGTAAAATAACTTGCCTTTAAGTTTTAGGGCTCTTTTAAACTTACCTTCTAGTATATTTATGATGAGAGAATACACTGCTCCACTGCATGGAGGGGGACCGGTATAAGTCTTATAATCATTGATTTCTATACTGATAGGAGCCTTGACTGCTACCCGGTACTGGGCAAGATCATCCACACTCACGATCCCACCTGGTGGATCAAGATAAAAAAGACAATGGCTGTTATTTTATACTTATTCAGCAAGGCTGGACGGGACAAGGGAGATGTGAGTCGGTCTAGTGGCACGTTCACTTGGTCAGCTCTCTGTCTTTGCCTATAAACTGGCTCAGGGCGGACCCCGGTCGGAAACTGAGTCACGTCTTTCGGATGGTGACATTAGAGGTTTGTCCCCAGACGTAAATAACCATATCTGATTGATACACATCTGTAAAAACCTAATTACACACACACACACCAGAATTGTCTGAATCTTATTTCTTATCTATTTTACCTAGATACACATAGATGGCACAATACAAGTTCCTGTTATTGTTGTTATCTTGATTATGAATATCATCATTATTACTATCATTATTGTTATTACAACTATCATCAAAAGTGTACAAACAAAATTTGATGATCACCAAAATTTGATGACTGCTAAGAATGCAAATATTTGGCACATGCCCCCAAGGGACTTGTTTCTATTTGGGGGTTGTAAGCCTCCCCCCCCCCCCCCCCCCCCCCCCCTAGGAAGCAATACTGATTTTTACCACTTTCTGCTATTTCTGCTACTATGGTAGCAGCCATTGATCCATTGTAGAAGGCTGCAGCACCCTCTGCGGCCAATGTGCGCATGGTTTGAGCCAGCTTTCGTCTGTACATGGTACCGCCCTCCTTCAGGAGGACCCCATTTTCATCCAACATTATCTCCCTATATGGACAAAAAAGACACAGAATGAAAATATTGGGTTAGGTAATTAGTCAGTAATATCATGACAACTTAAGAAAAATTAAATAATACATTATCTCTGCCTGCATGGTCACTTACCCATCATTAAGTTCCTCTGGCAAACTCCTTACGAAATTGATTCTTGAATGATCAGTTATTTCATGAGGATACAAATTAATTTGTATTTTACCTTTTATATGCTTGTGTATTTGTCTATTTCATTTTTTTTTGCTGCTGTTCTTTGTTTTATCCTTACCAAACAGGGCCTCATGGAACACCACCAAATTTGTGATATAATAATAATAATAATAATATTCTTTAAAGTCCACTCCAAATGTTATTAAGTTAAACCGAAAATGGAAATTCTTTTTGCCCAATTGATCGTGAGCCCGGCAGCCACTGAGCAGCGCCAAATCGACGTTGCTCCATCCCTTATTGTTGAACGCCAAACAAGGTAGCAGCAACTCTGCCAACCTGTATAAAATATCAGAATTAAATAAATAAATATACCAGGCCACTTAAGAAATTTAACCAGACTTTTAAAGAACCTATCTCCCCTGGATGGCTACCCCAGCAAACTCCATCTGCAAGGACAACTAGCAACACTACTACAGACATCCAGTACACAGGGTCCCCTCCTCATTTTGTATGTACAGTAGTTTCTTCTTCTTTCTAAATAATAACAATTACAATAATAGATTTGTCTTACATTGATGAAATTACAACTAGACACGATAATCTGATTATCTGAATTATATAAAACAGACAGGAAAAAAGAAAGAGCACTCTCACCTTGCAGAACTTGCAGCTACATGTGTATGGCATAATAATCAAACCAACCCAAATTACACTTTATATTTGTAAAATTTGTACAACTTATTAACAATTTTAAAAATTTAATTTAACCTCCGGAACTTGCCTCAAGTTTGGATCATCCATGATACGATCACTCTGGCTGTCTATCGCATTTGCCAGGGCTGGGCCTACGGTAAAACCTTGCTCTGCAATCTCTATAGAGGGCTCAAATAGGTCAGCCCAAGGGAGTTTGCCGAAACTCTGATGGGCCTCCCAGTACCCCATTACCTCACCAGGCACCGCAATAGCAAGACCACCTAGAAGGAAACAACAACAATACAGAATCATGAGAATGGCAGACAAATATCAGTAGGTCCGAAGACCAAAGAATTTTGTCTGACATGTTACTGACCTTTTGGAGAAACCGATGAACACGTCCCACTGGAAACTGGAGCCCTGCACGGGATGAGCGCGTCTTTGCCTAAGATGATTATTTCTCATAATTGTATAAATTAAATATGGTAGCTTGGGTCAGATAATTTTTAAAGATAAATTGTATAGATAATAAGGATATGACTTCTCAATCCAACGGTTGCTTGCGGGTTTGAATCCCAGCCCAGCTACAACGTCTTTTGGCAATACATAAATCCACATTGCCACTCTCCACCAAGGTGTTGAATGGGTACCTGGTAGGATGCCAAAGTCATTGTAGTTTGCTCAGAATTGTCAGCATCTGTAAAAAATGGCGCCTGGCTGGAATGGTACCCGAGGAGTGAAGATTGTGCATACATTGCTTGTGGGCAATCCAATAACCAGGGTAATAATACAGTCAAACCTGTCTATAGTGACCACCAAAAGGAAACACAAAAAGTGGTCTTTGTAGACATGTTCCTTTAGTACGTTATCATTAAGTATTTGGCGTCACCTGTGCCTGGGAGGTTAAAAGCGAACTGAATCACTGTGACCCTCGGGTCTCTCCTCCCGGTATAACTGATTGGGGGTGTGCAGGTTAGCAGGTGGACCACTACACCAGGGTTTATCCCCCTACTTTTATATATGAATAGTGCAGTGGGTTCTTTTAAAACGTGCAAAGGTGGTGACTAAGTCACATTCATATATGGTAATCCACCTAAACATTAAAAAACACCCCACAGCAAAACAAAATAGTTTACATTCACATGAATCTTAGATTTAGGTGGAAATAAGTTCCAGCCTTAATGCAAAAAAGGGTGCATTTATAGTACCTTTTTATGCCTAGAATCAGTGTTTTTGAGCGTGTTTCAGGCAAATTGTCATGGTGATAAACGCAAGCCTGTTTTCAAATGTCTTTAGATATGGGTATATTGAAACACCAAAAAAAGTGTGTTTTGAATGTGACATAGATGATAGAGCCAGAATCACATTTCTGAGAGATGATAAACGCAAGGCTTTTATCTCGAATCGTGACGAGGTTGATAAACGCAACATCCCGCAAATCACGTTTGTATAGTGTGGTTCAATATGTACATATAGAAACGCTGATTCTGAGTGGCAAAACATGATAAACGCACCCAAAGGCCAATAAGCATAGTTAGGCCTACTTTATCTGTTTGTTAAACGTCATTGCTGGAAAGAAAACAAAAGATTTGGACAAAGAGTAACACAAAATAAGGAGTAATTTTTTGTGCAGGAAAAACTTTAGACCCCAAGATCTTACCAACAGTTGATGCATCTAAACTCTCATTTGTATACATGTCCGTGGATGCCAGCAGGGGAGCTACTTCTCTGGAATTCAAGAAAGATGGCGTCTCTGTTTCTCTGTCATAGTACATTATGAAGCTGCCTCCACCTATACCTGCACTGTGGGCATTGAACAGTCCCACGCATAGTAATCCAGCGATGGCCGCATCCATGGCACTTCCTCTATTTAAAAGTATATCCCTGAGTACCAAAGACACAAACAAAAAACATGGTTGGGGTAAATGAACATCAGTAAAAAAATCCTTTCATTACTATGGCCTATTTCTTTCAGAATGAATTTTCTTGGCCTTGATAACAATTTCAACTAAAAAGATCAAATAAGGCATATCATCTACAAATTTATGTACCGGTAATCAAACTCATTTTATTAAATTCTTTTTGCGCTACAGTTGACGAACGGAACAAACTGCGGGCCACCACGATCAACTTTTGGCACACTTACAATGTTCATTTACCATACACTTTAAATAATAATGTGCCAGTCTCGGGTATCATTCTCTAAGCGAATAAAGAGGTAAGAAAGGTGGTTAGAAATATCTCATTCTGCAAATAGAAGTTCAAGACATAAACAATCATTCAGTCATTCAGTCATCATGTCTTTTTCTGAAGTTCATTTTCATACACGTATTGTTCCCTGATCAATATCAAACTTTATGAATTGCAAACCTCCTTTGAATATTACATGTAAGACAGAAAAAAGCAAAAGTGAAGTAAAGGTAAAAAGTATGGGTTACTGAAGGAAAGTTAAAATAGAGTAAAAGTAAAAGTAGCGGTGAAAGTAAAGGAAAGGAAAAGAAAGGAAAGGAAAAGAAAGGAAAGGGGAAAAAAAGGGGGAAAAAAGGGGGAAAAAAAGGGGGAAAAAAAGGGGGGAAAAAAAGGGGGAAAAAAAGGGGGAAAAAAAGGGGGAAAAAAGGGGGAAAAAAAGGGGGAAAAAAAGGGGGAAAAAAAGGGGAAAAAAAGGGGGAAAAAAAGGGGGAAAAAAAGGGGGAAAAAAAGGGGGAAAAAAAGGGGGAAAAAAAGGGGGAAAAAAAGGGGGAAAAAAAGGAGAAAAAAAAAGGTAAAGTAAAGGGCAGGGTAAGGATAAAGGATATTAAAAGTAAAACTATACATGTAGGTAAAAGTAATTTTTGAAGTAAAAAAAATTGTAAATGTAAAGTAAACATTAAGTAAAGGTAAAAGTAAGGGCAAGCATAAAATTAAAGAAAGTAAAAGCAAAAATACAACAACTTACCCGACCTCCCTTTTCATCTTACCTTCCGACCTCAGAGCAACGAGCTGCGTCGGCAGCAACAGCAGCTTCTCGGTAGACATAGCCTGTCCTTGGACTCGGCTCACTCTCACTGTCCCTGCCGTAGATCAGGCCTACAGCTATACCGCATCCTATTGCTACACCGAGGATGAGGATGATCAGCATAGACGCTAGGAGTCTACAGGACGAGACGAAGAAAGAATGAAAATGGAATATTAATTACATTTCATTTCATTTTTTTAATTTCCACATCAAGATAAAAGATCATCAATACAAGATGATATAACGAGATATCCAAAGTGGGTGGACATGAAAAGCACATTAATGGCTTGTTAAAAATAATCCTCACCAAATTTAAAGAATAATAATAACTTAACAATATATAATTTACAACAAAGTCAAGATTTTAAAAAAGGAAGATAAAGAAAATAGAGAAAAGAAGGAGGAAACATTGCATAAACATTGACATTGTAAGTATTTAAAATGAAAATTGTAAGAGTATATTCCTTATTGTTTATGGCCACATTAATTTTATTAATTAAATCAAGTATTGCAGTTGCTGTTGGATGCCTGATTGGATAAAAGTGGTGACATTAGTATTGTCTAGCAAAGAAGCTGATGTTTCTGTTATCCGTAGAGGACAATCTATGACTGGTCGTAAACAAAAACTGGACAAAAGATCTATAAAAGAATTGACTTTTTAATTGAAACCTATTTTGAATGGACTACATGTAGATGCTAATAGTAGGGTGCTACAGGGTGAGATGGAGAAAGGATCGGTGTTTCAGTCAAACCTGCTTTATAATATTAGTGACCAACTATGCTAATACACTGTACACATTGTAGAAAGACAACCTCTAGAGACCACATTCCTGTTTTCCTTGATCCATGTGTGTCGCTGAAAGATACAATACTCATTCTATATAGCGCGAATTACAATTAAGTCTCTAAGCGCTTCCAAACTTAGATGTATTACCCTGGCTTTAGCTGTGCTGGCATTATGGCGCTCTAGCAGTTTAAGGAATTAATTCCTGCCAGGTGGCAGGTACCCATTTACATCACCTGGGTCGAGAGTGTGGCAGATGTACTGTAGATCAATTTCTTGCCAAAGGACATGTATCAAAGGACATGTACAGTACACAAGATGTAACTCATGTAAAGTGAGTGGTCTAATGGACGATGTATGAATTTCACTGTGGAAGAATACAAAAGACGGGGAAAGGGTAGAAAGAAATTTAAGAAGTTTGCAGATCATATGATTGTGCTAAATCCTGAAGCTTCACTACACACAGTCAATTAATAACAATGATTTATGATAATGATGATGCTGCTGCTTCTGCTGATAATAATAACAACAATACTAATACTACTAGTAGTAGTAGTAGTAGTAGTAGTAGTAGTAGTAGTAGAAGTAGTAGTAATAGTAATAATAATGGTAATAATACTATTGATACTATAAATAACAATAATAATTTAAAAAAATGATACTTACAGTCAAAAGTGAAATGCACTGTTGTTGCAAAATGCACTGTTATTGTCAACAGTGACCCCTCAACATCATTCAATGGTCAAAACACAATCCATCCTCCATACAAATGGAGAATTCTCTCACTGTTGTCAATAACAATGCATTTTGCAGCTTTTCATTTTTGACTTGGCCCCATATTCATAGTTAATTACTGCACATTCCATGATTACACAATCTTTAAAAAATGGGGCACCATTGTAAAGGGAAATAAACAGGCTTTTTAAAGTTCATATGAAATTTATAGCAACATGAGAGATATCATCTCTCAAACTTGAATTGAAGAACTATTTTTGAGGAGTTTATTTCAGTTCTGAGATCAATCAGTTTGCTAAGTTATGTGTCCGTACAAATCAATAAGGTATAAAAAGGCAGAGGAGGGGTTCTGGTTTTATAGATTTGGGGACAAGTACAAGAATTGTATCAAAAATCTCATGAGACAACAGAATTAGTAGGTTATAAAGTTTATGACAGTAGTTGAATTACTGTGTACATTTCAAAGTTCATGGACTTTGCATATTTGGGTAAAGTTCAAACTTAAAGTGTTTTTTTCTATTAAAAAAATAGATCAGTAGTCCATTCTCTCTGTTTTTACAAAACCACAACAAAGTCTATGTTATTTCAAGATTTTGATTTTAGAACCACTAAACAATTTAATAGTGGTATTTCGGCAGTATTCAAGTACTGTTTTGTACTATTTTTAGACTTACATGTATTTTTTCTGTTGATTTTGAGGACCATTCTACAAAAGCCCACAAATAAGCCTTCCTAAGCCTAAGTTGTGAATTGCTTTTAATACCGGTACACATGATTGCACAACACAACTTGCTCAATATTGCAATACATGTAGTTTGCAGTAGAAAAAAATGCTTTTATACCGTTTGTTTGCATAATAGCACTTGGCAACAGGGCAACCTTTATATGTTCACCGTTTGTAGCACATGAATGAAGATCCACAAAGGAGACCATCTATGCCCAGCAAAGCTGTATCATAATATATCATTACAAGTACTGTACAGTACTACTGGTACATGTACAGTCCATTTTGCTTCGAAATTATCTTATAATCCACTGTCCATTTGATACATGTTTGACCATGTACATACACAGTACAGTACATGGGAGTGGGCCTATTCAGCACCAGTACATGTAGTATCTATAGGCCGGCAGTGAAGACAAAACATTTGTAGAATTTCACCTCTTGACATTTTCACAAACGCATCTTTAGGAAATATTTTTAACACATTCTTATCACGTAGTATTAAAATTGATGTTTTAAAAGACGCAATCATGGCCAAAATCCATGCAAGTATTGGCGATCAATTAAACTCTCATAGACCATGTAGACAATGATAACATACAAACATGTCGTAGATATTAAGCTTATACTAGTCCGAGTTGTCACTCATCCAGAATTAGACATGATCCATGCATGTACCCAGTACAAGTAGTAGATACATTCTTTTAATTTGTATCACACTTGACCTAGCCCTTAAACCTTGAAATCATATTACCTTTTTCTGCATGTTCTTTGACGACCTTTGTAATAAACATCTGATGATTTTCTGTTTCCACCAAACAGTGGGTCCAGCTCCTCGCTCTCCCCTATGTCAACCTGCGAGTTGTCCATTGCTGTGTAGTTGTACTTTCCAGGCATGTTTTCTGCACATTCATTGCCCACTAAACTATTGCAACCCTTGTCAATGTCCCGTTTGTTTTCATCAGCACTTTGTCCGGGCCAACTTTCCCCAAAGTTGGGACTTTGATCAATACAGCTATGCAATACAACCTCTGACTCTGCACTGGCATCGTGATCACTACAATCTGCAGTGTCACTGTCTATTGACACAAGTGATGTAAGTCTAACACAGTCATCATTGTTGGTCTTACTCTTAGGCTTGGCACTAAACCAAAATCTTCCAATGCCGGCCTGAGCGTTAGACCATATTCCATCTTGTTTTTTGTCCTGTGTTTCAACGTCCTGGCTTCCGATTAGGGGTGATGCAGCTGCATTCAGAATCAGACTTTTCAGAGGCTGATCTGAATAACAAACTTTGATCTCATCATTTTCCACAACTGTCTCAGATTCTGGTGGATGCTGCTTCTCTTTCCGACCGTGAAACAATGAGATCACATTTGATACCAATTTATCGGACCAATTGTCAAAGCGGTTTTCAATTTCAGGTCGTTTACGTTTTACATGAGCCAAAGATGAACTGCCACCACCAGTCCAAAGGTCTTTCTCAAATAAAACGAGATCCTCTTCTGAGCTAGCTGCAAGGAGATTTCGGTAGTCAATGTCTTCATCATCTTGCATGTCGGCCTTGGAATTTGACCATCTTCATCCACACACACTGAACTCTGAAGAGCCACAGATTGGAGAAAGTACAAGTACAACAACAAGTGCAACATCCAACTCCAATGTCATTGGATGGGGCAGCCTTAGCTGAGCCTGAGCTGAGCCCGAGCCCAGTTTTCAAGATTTTAACGAATAACGATATTTCATTCCCTATGCCTGGTCTAATTTAAGTGAATGACAAAACAGGGAGCATGCAAATGGCAGTGACAACTTCCGTTGTACTCAAGACGAACGCAATCACGTTGGTAAGCTTTGCGGTATCACTGAGTGACAGACACTGTCAAAACATTTAATATCTTGGCATATCATACCGTACTTCCGGCCGCGCTAGCCCTGGAGTGGAGTACGTACGCCCAATTCACTGCGCTAATGATGCGAGAGCGGAGGAAAACAAGGGAAACTCCCTGCACGTACGATATATACATACATGTACGCATCGGGATCCTCATCATGCGTCACCTATGTGATACCCACATTCGTTTGTTCAGCTTTAATTGAAATTATGATTTTCGTTACAATAACTAAAAGTGGTGTATTTACTGCAAATATGGGTGGGAGAAAAGAAAACAAGAATAGAGCCGAGGGTCGAGGGGGAAAATAAAGAAGGGGGGGGGGGGGGGGGGGTGAAAAGGTGGAAATTTTCCGGAGGGTACCTATTATATGGGGGTAATTGTCTTGGGGATAATTATCCTCGGGGCGGTAGTCCTGGCGGGGGGGGGGGGGGGGGGGGGGGGGGTTAATTTTCTAGGGAGGTGGACTGTCCTTGGGGGAAGTTTTCCGGGAGGGTTATTTTCCAGGGGGTGATTGTCCTGATACGATATTGACTATTTAAATTATTTACGAAGCATTTGCACAAGAAGCGGGTAATCTTGTCTTTTTCAGTGTGGAAACTTATTTTCCCTAAAAAAAAAAAAAAAATCGGTGCAAACTAGGGATTGTTCATTTCTCATAAGATTCATTCATAAGGAAAGTCGATTATGATAATAATGAGAAGTAGAAGTATATATTATAATGTTCTTAGTAATGATAATAATAACGATAATAATAATAATAATAATAGCAATGATTATTTAAAAAAATATTTATACAAAAAATAATGAAAATAATATTGATAATGATGACAATAACAATGATTATAATAATTATGGCAATAAAAATAAAACTAATCAAAGATTATGCTTATGATTAAAACTATTTTATTTTATTTTAATCTTTTCCTTTGTTTCTTTTAACTATCACTTTCCATCTCTATAGATTCTTCCTCCTGGGGCCCGTTGCATAAAACTTACCATTGATGATAACTTTACCACCAATGGCAACTACCATGGTAACAGGGCTCAACAGCCAATCAAAATCAAGGTTACCATGGTAGTTACCATTGATGGCAAAGTTACCATTGATGGCAAAGTTACCATCAATGGTAAGTTTTATGCAACGGGGCCCAGGTCCTTAAAATATTTTTTTCAAACGGGAGTTTCTTTTTCAATAATTTATCAGCCGGAGTCCAATCACGAATCATTTCGACATAAAACGAAGGTATTTTCCTATCAAACATAGAATGTATCCCAGATAGCAAAATATCTGGGGCCCATCTGGGTTTTGTATAGGCTGACTAAAGCCCACGTGGCCCATACAAAAACCAGATGTATACCAGATGGGCCTTCCCACCAGAACCCACGCATATGGGCCCCATGTGGGTTTTTGGTGGTGAAAATCGCACGTCGAACATCGGCTGGGCCCAGCTAAAAACCAGGTGTATACCAGGTGGGCCTTCCCACCAAGAACCCACAAGTATGGGCCCCATATGGGCCCCATGTGGGTTTTTGGTGGTGAAAATCGCACGTCGAACATCGGCTGGGCCCAGCTGAAAACCAGATGTATACCAGATGGGCCTTCCCACCAAGAACCCACAGGTATACGGAGCCCACGTGGCCCATATAAAAACCAGATGTATACCAGATTGGCCTTCCCATCCAGAACCCACAAGTACCAACACATATAGGCCCCATATGGGCCCCATGTGGGTTTTTGGTGGTGAAAATCGCACGTCGAACATTGTCTTCGCCCAGCTGAAAACCAGATGTATACTAGATGGGCCTTCCCATCCAGAACCACAAGTATATGGAGCCCACGTGGCCCATAAAAAAACCCATATTGGCATTCCCACCCAAAACCCACACGTATACCAATACATGTGGGCCCCATGTGGGCCCCATGTGGGTCTTTTGGTGGTGAAAATCGCACGTCGAACATTGTCTTCGCCCAGCTGAAAACCAGATGTATACTAGATGGGCCTTCCCATCCAGAACCACAAGTATATGGAGCCCACGTGGCCCATAAAAAAACCCATATTGGCATTCCCACCCAAAACCCACACGTATACCAATACATGTGGGCCCCATGTGGGCCCCATGTGGGTCTTTTGGTGGTGAAAGTTTCACATCGAGCATCGGCCGGGCCCAGCTAAAAACCAGATGTAAACCAGATGGGCCTTCCCACCCAAAACCCACAAATATATCCCAGAATTTGCATAATGAATATGGGGTGCGTGAACATTTATGTTTTTTTACAATTTATCTGAATTTACAGGATATTCCCTATTTACTGATGATTTAGTTATATGCAATTATTCATTTCGAAAATACTACAAAATGTAAATTACTAATATTTAAGACATTTCACTACTTTGTATAAATTTCATTTAATTAAACATGAATTAGGAAAAACACTAACTATGATCTAAAACAGATTCAATAAAATACAAGTATATGGAAATGTCTCATCACAGCAAATTATAACCAAGTCTTCTTACCACCAATGCCTTTACATTGGAAATTTTAGACGATGTGTTGTTGCCATTGGCAAAATTAATTAGTACAAGTGCTTCATAAGCTACTAATTAAGTTTGCTAATTGGAGCTTTTAACTGGTTGAAAGTTGTGCCAAATGGTACGACTGGTCCAGTTAAACCCAACTGGTACCCTGGAAATTGAAATGGGATAAATGAATTCAACTGGGTAAAAATAGAACCCATTTAAACGATATGAAGCCCATTTAAAACCACATTGGTCCATACGGGACCAGATCAAACCAACTTGGCCCAAATGGATCCCATATATAAAACCGCTTATAGCCCGTATGGGGCCCATATAGAACCCACTTGACCCATATATAGAATGTGGTAGGTCCCACATAAAACCCACATGGCCCATCTGGTGCCCAAGTGGGTCCAATCTGGGCCGCCATCTGGGGCCCACAAGGGGCCTATCTGAGACCCATCTGGGCCAAATGGGCCAAGTGGGCAATAGATGGGCTGGCCCATCTGGGCCAAGTGGGCCAGCCCAGTTGTAACCAGATAAAACCCAGATGGGCCCCACAACATTTTGCTATCTGGGATATTATGTACTTGAAAATCACAATTTGATATCAAATTTAGACTTCCAAAACGAGTAAACCAGTAATTTCCCAGTTTTTCCCATATTGACCATCATCCCTAACTACCTAAGCCTGAAAATGAGCACTTTTTTTTCCACATCAACCATTTTCTGCCCACCGTTTGCATAATTTAAAAACATCACATCTTCTCACCTTTTCTACTCTTGTGTTCCAAAGTTTGAAAAAAAACATTTTATTCAAATTCTTTATAATCATTGGTGGAACTGAATCAAAATAAGCAGGTGTACTCATTGGCTTATTGCCAGACTAGTTTTTCTTTTTTGCGCCAATTACCTAGAACCCGTTGCATTTTTGTCAAAATATCCTCCCCGGCAGTAAAAGCCACTTGTTCATAACAAAAACAAGATGTTTTACCGGATCTTCTATCCATGTCAAATCAATGTCTGGCAGTTTCCATCTTTTGTCTTTCTTATACCTATCCAGAAAAGTGATTATTTTTTTATTTTTTTTTTTAATTTTAGGACCCACCACTTTTCCAAATTCTTATAATTCATTTAAAATTACTTCTAATGACCCGATATCCCCCACAAAGAAAGTTGTATTATCAGCATATACTAATTAATTGTATTACCTTTACCTCAAATTGTCCACTGATTTTGTTGAAACATATACCTGTAATATGATCATTTTTTACGTATCTTGTTAGCCAACAAATTCAGCTGCGATGACAAACAAAAGTGCAGAGAGGTGACAGCCTTGCATGACGTCATCCCCCTCTTTACTTGGAACTGCTCTGTTATCCGGCCATTTACTGACCTTACTTTTTGTACACGGTGCGATGATCTAAACTATGATGACGAATATCAGTTGAAACCTTTTTTTTAATTGCTTGCACTGAGACTGGATTGTAGTCTGTATAGATCATCAAATGATGTGAGCTCAAACAAAATCTTGCAAAAAAGGAATGGACAAGTTTTGCCATCGATTGACCATTAACTAATTTGTATGACAAATCATTAGCGTATGCTATATTTTGCACCACTTTATCAAAATGCACCTTTCACCAGACATCGATCGAATGCAGCGCAAGAATACATCCGTCTGGCCTAAAATCAACTATGAAATAAAGGAAAATAACTCAACACCCTCTCAGACCGTACGGCGGAGAAAACAAACCTTCCAATGGACAATCGACCTCTTACAAACAAACAATAAGAACAACAACAGCAACAAAGACAACAACTACAACAGCCACATTGTTATTTGCTACTCGGCCGCAATTCAGCCCCGGCCAGCAAAACGGTATTGTTAAAGTGTAGGACTTAAAAGCAAAAACAAAAATGAAGAGAAGGAAAACGGGGTTCACGTATTATTAGGTATAATCCTAACAAAGAAATGGTAGTATGAATTGTGAATTAAATGATTATGAACTCAAATGAATTAAAGCCCCACTCTACTACTTGTAGCTACTAGCTCCCTCTATATAGAAAACAATGCCTAAGCGGTGCCCGTTTGTCCCCCATGATCCTCTTTTTCTTATGAGAGCTGAGTTGAGGAGATAGCCACCTGTCAGTGAACACGCAGGGTGGTCTAATCCTTCCTGGCCAAACAAGTAGAGACGGGCTTTAAAAAATCCTCAAACCTTAAACTCCATACACTACATCAAATGCATAATGGACCTGTTTAAGAATTCTTTGCAAATATCTAAATAATCAATGGCGAATTTGAATTAAAAATATGTTCAGTTCAGTTCAGTTTAGTTTCAGTTCAGTTCAGTTTCAGTTTATTTTCATATTTCACATGTTGTATAATACATCATTACATTTGGCATGTTACATGTTTGTAGTCATTTTTGGATGCATTTATACAAACAAAAAGAATAAGTAAAATAAAGGAAGAAATATGATGGAGCCTAAAGAGAAAGCAATGCTTGTAGGTCA